TCCTGCTGCTTATCGCTTTCCCCTTCTCCTTCTTGCTGCTGCTGTTGCTGCTGCTGCTGCTGCTGCTGTTCTTGCTGCTGCAGCATCCGTTCTTGTTCCTGCTGCTGGTGAATCTGCTGCAGCAATTCTTGTTTATTAATTTTAAGAGCAGCAAAAAGAGGATCGAATGCAGCAGCAACAGCAGCATCGCTAGCAGCAAGAATATCAAAGACAGCAACAGACTCCAACAATCTTTTTATTATTTCTTCCGGGATTCTATTCACCCTTGTTGGTGCTTCAGGGGCTAAGAAATCTCTGTACTTGGGCACACGTCTACCCCTTGGCCTGCTGCTGCTGCTGCTGCTGCTGCTGCTGCTGCTGCTGCTGGTAGTAGGATCATCTCCTCCTTCTCCTTCTCCGCTGCTGCTGCTGCTGCTGCTGCTGCTGAAGAACTGGGGCCTGGGTATGAGCTTGAAGGAGACAGAGTCGAAGCCCAGCAGCCGCTGCTGCTCTTTATCTATAAACTGTTCTGCTGCTGGCAGCTGCCGCCCCTGCAGCAGCAGCACAGAGCAGGGGACCCCCCGCAGCCGCGCCTGCTGGTAGGCCTTCTCTACCCCCTCCAGCCGCTGCTGCGCTGCATGCACGATGCTGCGCACCAGCAGCAGCCGCAGACTGTACATACGCCGCGCCTCCAGCTGCTGAGCTATACGCAGCTCCTCCTCTGCGCTCATCTTCTTTGTTGCTGCTGCTTCTTCTTCTGTCTTTGTCTCTGTTTCTTTTTCTGTCTCTGTCTCTGTTTCTTTTTCTGTATTTGTCTCTGTTTCTTTTTCTGTATTTGTCTCCGTTTCTTTTTCTGTATTTGTTTCTGTTTCTTTTTCTGTATTTGTTTCTGTTTCTTTTTCTGTCTCTGCCTCTGTGTCTGCATCTGTGTCTGTTTTCTTGTCTTTGTCTTTGTCTTTTTCTTTTTCTTTTTCTTTGTCTTTGTCTTTATCTTCTTTTTCTTCTGTCTGTATATCACCAGTTTCTATCTCTTTCTTCTCTGTCTCTGTCTCTGTCTCTGTCTCCTTTTCTTTTTCTCCATCCCCAGCAGCAGCAGCAGCAGAAGCAGCAGCATCAGCAGCAGCAGCAGCAGCATCAGCAGCATCAGCAGCAGGATCATCACCAGNGCAGCAGAAGCAGCAGCATCAGCAGCAGCAGCAGCAGCATCAGCAGCATCAGCAGCAGGATCATCACCAGCCTTTGCCTTTGTTTGCTCGTTTTCTTTTGCCGTTTCTGTTTCTGTTTCTGTTTTTGTTTCTGTGTCTGCTGCAGCAGCAGCAGCAGCAGCAGCAGCTGCTGCTGCTGCTTTTGCTTTTGCTGCTTCTTCTGTTTCTTTTTTATATCTCTCAGCATATCCCGGTGGCAGCGGCGGCCTCGGCATCCTAAAAGCAGCAGCAGCAAGAGCTTTGAATGCAGCAACAGGATCATCATCTTCTGCTGCAGGAGGTAAGTAATTTGCTGCTGCTGCTCTCTTTGCTTCTGCTGGCAGCTTTCTCCATGCTCGCTGCAGTCCCTTTGTTCCTTTTTTTATTTGTTGCAGCATTGCGTTGAGGTCTTCGTCAAGGATACTAACATCTGCTTCGAGTGGGGGAAGAGCAGGGGCAGCAGGCGTTGCTGCTGCTGCTGCTGCTGCTGCTGCTGCTGCTGCTGCTGCTGCAGCAGCTGCAGCAGCCTCCTCTGCTGCTGTATCCCTTCTATCAATGATAAGAAAAGGGGGATGACTGTCAAACCTTACATTTGCTTTTGCTGCTATGCGTACACCCAAAGAAGCAAACATAAAAACAAGAGAGAAAGTAAGCAGAAACTGAATAAATATATCTGGTCGCCGAAGAAAACGACGAATAGATTTTCTAAATTTTATAAAGGGTGTTTGTCTTTTTGTTATTTTTAATCTTTGTCTGTATTGACGATCATGGCGTCTAGTTTTTCGTTCTAGTTTGCTGTTGCTGTTGCTGTTGCGGCTATCGTTGCTGCTGCTCCGGCTGCTCCCGCTGCTGCTGCTGCTGCTGCTACCACTACCATTCGTTTTATTATTTTCTTTTGGGCCGCTGTTGCTACCACTACGACCACGATGACGCCCCCTGCTGTTGTTGCTGTTGCTGTTGTTTGTGCTGTTGTTTGCACTGTTGGGGTTGCTGCTGCTGTGGCTGCTGTTGCTGGCGCTGCCTCTCCTGTTGCGTCCCCTCAAATGCTGCAGTATTTCAGCTCTGCTGCCTCCAACATGCTTTGCTGCAGCAGCACCCGTACCAGCAGCAGCACCAGCAGCACCAGCAGCAGCAGCATTTGCAGCAGCAGAAACAGCAGCACTTGGCTCTATACCTACATGAGCTTCTCCCTTCATTCCTCCTACTACTCCATATTCTCTATCTATACTGTTTTTTCTTCCTTGCCTTCGCGCTCGTTTCAGCATAGAAAATTCATCTTCTCTTGGGGTGTATGCGGAGCTCACCACTGCGCCCCCCCCCCTGATGGGCGGCGCATCGACGGCCATTTCCTTTCTGTATATAAATATTTATATAAATTTAATTAATTAATTAATTAATATTTATTTAATTAATTAATTAATATATTTTCTTTTTCTGTTCAGTTTATTATATAAACGGAATATTCACATGCATACCGCACCGATACACAAAACAAACCGAGAAACCACCAACAGGCAGAGAGAGAAGATAATAAAGACAAACAAACCAA